TAAAAGTTCAAAAATATGCACTAATAACACAAGATATTTCTCTATCTTCCATTAAACTTATTCACGTTTTTCACTCTGTATATTTAAATATACACTCTAAACATTGAAATAAGTTCAAATTTCAATTTTATTTTGTAATATTTCACATAAATTTATTAATTTAAAAATCACTTAGCGAACTCCGCGTTGCAAAGGTTAGATTGTTTACAATTATGAGGAAAACGAGCATTGCCACATCTTAAACACCAAATATGTAGGCTTCTTAACGATTTTTCTTTGTTTGTTTTTTTGCGTGATTCCTTTTTCTACATTAATTATAATAAAAAATACTTTCTAACATTTTTTAAGTTATAATTGAGTTATGAAAACTTTTTCCATCTACATATGTATGTATATGTATAATATGTGATTTATATTTAATAAACACATATAATTAAAACTATATGATAATATAGTATTATAAAATTTATATAATATCATGTCGTTATGACTGAAGTACTTTAAAAAAATAACCCTGGCCGAGCGAATACCCGGGTGGACTGAAGTACTTTCGCGGAGTACTCCTTTCTGCCTGTCTCTTATACACATCTAGATGTGTATAAGAGACAGATATTATATAATATTACTAATACATGTATATTATATTACTTATTTGCTTAATAAATTTAAAAAAGAAAATATCCATATGCATGAATAGAGGAATTTCAGCGAATTGCCTTATCATCACATGGCAGCGCTCCATTTCGTCATAATTTTTGGTAAACAAACAAGTGTAAAATGTAATTTATAAAATGCAGATTTTTTAGGTAAAAGACCTGCTAAAAGTGTAAGATATGGAGTTATTTACAAGTTTGTAGTGCAATTTAATTAAATTAAAGTGAAAAATCTGAATAAAGCGTGTTTAATGTGATGAAATAGCGTCTTGAAATGTACGAATTTTGGGAATTTTTGAACTGTAAGGTGGAATATCTCCTAAATTAAGCGTTTGCGGTATATATTTTTTAATCAGGAGGACTTCCTCTTTCCAACGGTACCTTTAGATCGCGGCGCCAAAAAAATCGGCATTGTGCCATATTACCACTAATACACATTCATACATACATACATATATGCAAATGATTACTGATTGTGATACAGATTGCTTAACCGTCGTGTATTATGCAATCAACAGACCTGCATACATTGTATACATACAAACATACATACATATGTGTGTACAAATATGAAATGTGGCATTTTTTACTTGCAATTGGTTTTAAGTTTACCCATGACTCTCATAATAGTAATGCAACTCCGCATCGAGTGTAACAAATAATTATCGAGAAGGTCAAATTCTTCACATATTTTGACAGCAATAAAGTGAGAGCAAATTGAATAATATTCACATGAACATTACTGCACACATATCCACATTTGCACGTACATACATATATGTAGTATGTATGTGAATGTATGTATGTACATATATACACGTATGTTTGTACAAAGCGCCTAGTCCATTGTTAATATGTAGTTAATATAAGTGAAAAATAAAGAACTTTCGAAATTTTCAGTTTTCTCAGAAAAGTGAAGCTAAAGCTCGCACCGGCCCCTTTTTGTCGTGTATAACTGATAAGGATTTCGCAGTCGTCATACTTTTTGTTCATACATACATACAATATGCGCGTTAAGTTCATATTTATGTATATTCATAAATGTACTATGGTCACATAAATAGATATGTTTATGTAAATCATTCGATTGCGACTCACATGATGCTCTTACCGCTCACATGCTTGCTGCGCTTTGTGGTCATGCATTTGCAGCCATGCTTCAAGTGCAAACTTAAGCACATACCTATGTAAATAGTGTATATGTGGTATGCATACATTTTTGGACTTTCTTAGAGGTTGATCGGAAAGCGATAAAATAACTTCTTAATTATTTCTAAAAATACAATATGTGCATTTGTCTATATTGCTTTTATTATAATGTTATTATCACTTAGTTAATTTAGTAGATTGATTGTGATCTACCAAAATTGTTAATGAAAACATATCTGGTCTATATATTTTTGAAATTATTTCTATATGAGAGAGGTAGTATATAATTATGATTTGGAGATGAAGAGATGATTTGGGCTATAACTCCTTGTCCGTCTAGCCAAACATTTATACCATATCTAGATATGTAGTATATTATTCATCAACCGTAATTATTCTATTAATATCATATATAATAGAGTTTTCCCAGTCTAACTTGAGCTTTTAAAAATCTAGAGACAAACTATGTCTCTACAAACTATGTATTTTTACATTAGCGGGATTAAACTTTGGTAATGTCCACATTACCTTTTTGGTTCTTTGGCTTTTATATGTTGATAACAAAATAATAGGAAGGTTTGCTCGGCAGAACTTTATTGTATGATCCAATATAAGATCCTTTACACATAAAGCTCGAAAGTTTCTTATAATCCATTTTAGTCGGAAAGATCTTCAGTACGGTTGACATTGGGTCGAATAAATAAATATGTACATAGAATATAAGTTCGAATAGCAATTACCCGCCTGAGGAACAACAAAGCGGCGGGGGCCGATGGATTGCCGGCCGAGCTATTCAAACACGGCGTCAAAGAACTGATAAGGACATGCATCAGCTTCTTTGTAAAATATGGACGAAAGCATGCCCAACGATTGGAATTTAAGTGTGCTATGCCCAATCCACAAAAAAGGAGACCCTACAATCTGCGCCAACTACCGTGGGATAAGCCTCCTAAACATTGCATATAAGGTTCTATCGAGCGTATTGTGTGAAAGATTAAAACCCACCGTCAGCAAACTGATTGGATCTTATCAATGTGGCCTTAGACCTGCCAAAACCACAACCGACCAGATATTCACCATCCGCCAATTCTTGGAATATACCCGTGAGAAGAGAATCGACATACACCACCTCTTCGTCGATTTCAAAACTGCTTTCGTCAGCTGCCTTTATGCCGCGATGTCTGAACGGCTGTGTAAACTGACGTTAAGCAACACCAAAAGCTCTGGACAAGAAGGCAAAACAAATGGGTCTGGCAGTGAACGAGAGCAAGACGAAATATCTCCTGTCAGCAAACAAACAGTCGTCGCACTCGTGACTAGACTCTCAAGTCACTGTTGACAGTCATAACTTCGAAGTCGTAGATAATTTCGTCTATCTTGGAACCAGCGTAAACACCAACAGCAATGTCAACCTGGAAATCCAACGTAAGATAACTCTTGCCAACAGGTGCTACTTCGGACTGAGTAGGCAATTGAGAAGCAAAGTGCTCTCTCGACAAACAAAATCAAACTCTATAAGGAACTCATAATTCCCGTCCTGCTATATGGTGTAGAGGCTTGGACGATGACAACAACTGATGAGTCGGCGTTGCGAGTTTTCGAGAGAAAAGTTCTACGAAAGATTTATGGTCCTTTACGCGTTGGCCACGGCGAATATCACATTCGATGGAACGATGAGCTGTACGAGATATATGACGACATTGACATAGTTCAGCGAATTAAAAGACAGCGGCTACGCTTGCTAGGTCATGTTATCCGAATGGACGAAAACACTCCAGCTTTGAAAGTATTCGACGCAGTACCCGCCGGGGGAAGAAGAGGAAGAGGAAGACCTCCACTCCGTTGGAAGGACCAGGTGGAGAAGGACCTGGGAATATCCAATTGGCGCCACATGGCGAAAAGAAGAAACGACTGGTGCGCTGTTGTTAATTCGGCTATAATCGCGTAAGCGGTGTCTACGCCAATTAAGAAGAGGAAGAAGTATATATGTATACATTTAAGAAAATATAATACATCACAAAAACAATTTAGTAGCTTTATAGTGTCTCCAAAAAGTCCTCCGAAGCCCTTCATAACGAATTATAGTACAGAAGTTTGTTGTGATATATTTAAAAATCGAACTCTTCATAAAACAGTTATTATACAGTGTATGTATATGCACATTGTATATGTATGGATTTAAGTCGGGGAAAAGTATAATGTATATCGTGCACTAAGGCATCAGAAGAGTTCAATATCCAATAGTAAATACTTGTCCGCCGATAAATGGAATAGACTAAGTCGGCAAAAGTTTTTTCTTCTTAATGTGACTTTTATTTTTTCATTTCGTTTTGCTCTTACCATAACTGCTTTAACCGGAGAAACCGCTTTTGAACTCGTACACCATGCACAGTCTTCACCTCATAAGAGACTAAGAAATCAGAAGGCTGGGTACGACACCCATCGCGTATTACCAAGTGTGCGGTGCAATTAGACAGTATCTGCTGGGAGCACTAACATCGCAAACGTCGTCTGCGTCATATCCAATGCCAACAGCCTCGGCCACTGCACACTAACAACAACAGCGATTTAGTATTTCGGCACCATTACCAATCATACTTTCATGTGGTTCGTATTGGGTAAAGCAGCAAATACAGCCGGGCAGCAATAGTCGCAACTGCTCGTGTAGCGTGCGCGATCCACTTGCCGGCAACCGGTGCGAAAGCCAGCACTACAGCGAGCGCCAACACGACTTGTTACGTATTTATGATCGCAATGGGCCGACTGGGAGAATGGTCTGACGCGCCCCATGGCGATGCAGTGGTAGTGGTGTCACATACACAAGCGTGTGAAATACACACTAGAATATAAATTATTGCTGTCGATTGCAACCCGACATTGCGACAGTAATGGTGAGAGCACTCAAAGTTTTCCACTATTGCAGTCAAAATCGGTTAGAACGTATAGTGTATAGGTGAGTACGCACTACAGTGGGGTAAGCAAAAACCAAAAGGAATGTGAGAATTTGTAGCAGAATTGGGCTAAATATCAGACTAATGCCGTCTGCAAAGCTACAGTTTCTTGGTTGATTAGACTCTCAGGCCAAGCGATAGCGCTCGATCGATAGTAAAGTTAGCGAACTGCTGTCAGTTACATACTCGCGCGCGCATACTTATACATATAATTTAAAATCTAATTGCGAAAATAATTTACATTTACCTGCAGTGTGTTGAATAAATAAATAAATCAATACGACAAAGTATTGCCGTCAATGCACAAGTCTTTGGGTTGTCGATTGTCGCTGGTGGTTGTTGTTTATTATTATTGCCGCTGGTGCTATTGCCCTAATCGTTATTATTGTTGGTTTGCTTTTATCGTATATACTGGTTGTTTTTGTTGATAGTTGTTATCTATGTTAGCTTTGTCGTCGATCTGTGCCTGCCCGGCCAGACATCTGACGCAGATGCAGCTGTTTGCATGCGAGAACGGAACAACGGTTATTTTCAATGATGTTCAGAGTGGTGGCACCGATGAATTGTTTTGGTGCGCAGAGAGACTTATGCGCTTATGAACCTGTCCAGAATACATAGACCGTTATACCGCATAAGCTGATAAACTGTAGGCAACAGTTTCTACACCAGTTCACCTTTCTTTTCGTATGCCGGCGCATGCACTTGTGTGAGTATCTGTTTGTGTATATGTAAGTAACTAGAACTCGCTCCCAATCGCTTATTTGTGAGTGTGTAGTAAGTCGTATGCGCACGCCTTCTGTGGCTAGTTGGATGTGTGGGCAAACAATCGGCGCAAATGCTGCTTCAAGCTTTTGCTAACGATATTTTGTGTGTTTTATTCGAAAAACTTACTTCCCTCTTTTAACTTTGCATTTACTTATTTCTCTTTCTATGTTGCTATTTTAAAATTGTCTTCACTTGTGTTTTGACTTCATTTGCTTCTTGCGACCACAATGCTTCGATTTACTAAATTTAAATACTCTTCACTTTTTGCCTTCCATTTGTTTTTTGTTTTCGAACACTACGCGCACATACATACATATGTCATGTAATTCTATTTTCTTAAAATATGCTTATGTATACGCATGCACACCGATATACAGAAGTATATAGATATGTTTGGGTTTGTACGTACGCAAGTGTTTTTATTTATTTTCTTTTTGTTCAAATATTTTTTTAAAGAATACTAGAACGGAAATACATATGTACAAACGGACGAATGAAGAATCGAATATTGAAAAACTGAAAGCACGTTTTACTGTTGCGCGATGCACTAAGTATTTACATACATATGTGTATGTATGTATGTATGTGGATATATGAATGAATGTGCATATAGCCTCTGCGGACGTGTGTGTTAAGCCGCGGTGGCAAGAAAACGAAAACAAAACACTAACTAATAATAACCACTAGCGCCGATCAATTAAAAATAGACTATAGCTTATCATCCGGTAGCGACGAGCCCGCAACCGTTTCCTCAGACTGCTTTCAGATAACTAAAGGAATGGAATTGTGCGCGGCTCAATGCTCTGGCTACAGATATGGGCGAGAATATAAGCGCGCGGCACACACAACACAGCAGCATGGAGCGACAGTTAGCGACCAGGCCATTTCAGCATTTGTGACTGCGCCAACAGCGAAAAACAAAGACAATAATACTCGTATAAGCGCCAACAAGCAACCAGCCAACAGTTGAAATCGAAAGGCGGCGAAGCCAAATGAGCAAAAAACCCCAAAGTCAAAGCGGTAAAGCAAAAGTAGCAAAGCAGACTGCCAGTAAGCAATGCTAGCAACTCATGCTTACATGCATACGTAYATACATACATGCATAGGAATAGGTACTTGTAGCTGCGTTTGTGCGAACGTGTGCGGCGAGCAAGACAGTAAGTCAACAAGGGAGCAGCATGCACCGAACAAGTAATCGCAGACACATACATACATATATACACACATGCATACATATGTATGTGTTATATACGCATGGGCGGGCGTATATACATAGGTATATATGTATATATGCATGTATGAACACTTGAATTTACTAAGTCGGCATGAATAAAACTGTAAAGAAGCCGATCAGTATTTGAATTGTGTTGAATTGGATTGAGCAGTGGGAAGCATGTGCAGCAAATTCGTTCTCTGCCCACTCATGTGATAAACTTTGTCGATGGCTGCTGAAAAGCGAAGCGCGCCGCATCAAGGTGTTCACGCTCGGCACTATGCATGTTGGAAGTGCTCATTTAGTGCTAAATTTTCTTTGTGTCTGTTAGCTTATTAGCAAGTGGCGACATTGCCATTCTCAATTCCATGCAATACAACACTACTGTACATGTATACATATATTAAGGCATCAACAACACAGGCAGAAGTAGAAGCGGAAACGGCGAAATATTGGCTTTAGCGCCACACCAAGTCTCAGTAATAGCCAATGTCGCGAGTACTTGTGTTGTAGAGTCACGTTATCACATTCAGGCTTGATAATTGTTCGTACGGGTTACACTCGCGAATAAGCGAAATAGGTTGGGATTGATATTCATATGTACATATGTCACCATATAAATACATACATATGTATATGTCTGTATATACTCAAGTACATATGGGTAAATGTCCATGTGTGTGTTTATGAATATCTACATGCAGATATACATATGCTTGTTTGTATGTTTGTACGTGCGTAACATGAACTACTTTGTGCAGCTATAATAGGCGCGGACAAAAAATTGCCACTGCCATACCGACCGGTAGACAGACAGCAAATAGTTCAATAAAAACAATTACAATCACTTACCCATGCATTTATCAACATATGTATGTATGTATGTACGTACACAATCGGAGGTGAAACAGAATAGCCACAGTGCGTGCAATGCATGGTTAACTAGAAGCAATGGCTCATTAGACCGTACCACCAGCACTTATTGCCAATAATTAAAAATTTACAAAAATAGGCATACATATGTATGCAAATGTACTGCGCGTATTACATGTAAGAACATTCTCATAATTATACAATATATTTACGTACATTAGTATGCATTTGAAAATATTTGTGAACTACAGATGTGTACCATATCCCGAAATCTTGGTTACAAACGGGATTGAGTGTTGCAAGAGTTAATCAAACAATTTATTCTAACAGCACAGTTTCTGAATTGATTATATAACTCGGTTATACCAGTAACATTTTTTGTAACAAACTGGTTTGGAATTGTATACTTTTCACGTCTGTGAATATAATATTACTCTAGACATACTCTTTCTACCTAGATATGCCCCAAATTAAGGATTATGCTCTTGCAACATGTGGCTGCAAATTATTGTATCACAACTGTAATTTGGTACAAACGTTTGTAGTAGCCAGGGGCATTTGTGATTCGAAATGTTTGAAACATTGGGTGTGTCCCCGCCTCCTAATGGGTTTCATGTATATACATACATATATCCCAAATCAATCAAATTTGCACAGATTAAATCATTTCGACACTTCTACCGAAACAAGTGAAATCGGATAATAATCACGTCCACTTTCCATAGAACGGTTTTGTCAAAAACCGCTAACAGTGCGATAAATCGGTAACTAATGGGCAGAGGGCTTTATAGGAGCCAAATTTAGTTCAAAATAAATGTATCCGGACCTACTCGACTAATTTCATCCTAATTTGACACATAGCATTATTTTAGCATTTCCATGTTGCAATGTGAACTACCCATGTATTATTGAAATTCGAAGAAAATGTTACTTTGATTGTACCCTTGTGTCAAAAATATAACATATATAAAGATTTTCGAACTTCCAGTTGACTTTATACTAGATATAGTATATCGACCAATGTGGGAGTTATTTTGCGTAAATAAAATCACGAAAAGTTGCCTTAGCCACCATATAACTGATATTCAGGATTTTTAAACATCAGGTTGACTTTACTCCATATATGTATGTATATGTATATGTTTATTTATTAGATTTCTTAAAAACAGGTTCCTTAGTAATGCCAAAAGTTAATGCAATCAGCACTTTCATTTCTCTGTCCCCAATCATTTTAATATAATTTTCGCTGACGGGAATTAAAGATAATAATGAACTAAAGTCAAAGACTCTACTTTCAAAAGAGGTGATACCAAATTTGATTGTAATCCATTCACTTTTTTGTAGAACAATGAAGTTGAATCCTTTGGCTACATTTTTATACTATTGCAATCTGTTGCTACGAAGTACTATAGTTTTGTTCACATAACGGTTGTACGTATAACTAAGAGAGATCGATATAGGGTTATATACAAGGCCAAAGTAAACAGAAATAAATGAGTTTTTCTGCAAAATTTTTTATTATTTTTATTCAAAATAGTCTCCCTCAGTTTCAATACAGCTTTTTGCACGGTGGAAGTTCACGTAAGAAAGGAAAGTTCTCCATTGCCATTTACTTGGGAATGGCCAGAAACGATTCTTTTACATATGGCTGAAGCAGCTCACGACTTCCGGTCTTTGACCAAGTATCCTTTGGGTAGCCAGAAACATTCGTTTGAAGGCAAGCTAAAGTGAGAAAGCAAGACATTCCCTCCACAAGGTTGTACGCTGGTATGAGAGACCCCCTTTTTGATGACGACCCCTGCAAACGTGGTAGGGATTACGATTAAAGGGCATGCACCTGGAATGTCCGGTCTCTCAATTGGGAAGTAGCGGCTGCCCAGTTGGTTGATGTCGTCGTTAGAGTGAAGGCTGACATCACCGCCGTCCGTGAAATGCGGTGGACGGGACAAGGACCGAGGCGATTAAGCCCTTGTGGTATTACTACAGTGGCCATATAAAAGAGCGAAAATTGGTGAGAGATTCGTGGTGGAAGAGAGATTCTATCGCCGAGTACTGGCCCGATGGATGAACGTCTACCCACTATCTGCATCAAAATGAAGTTTTTCAGCATATCGCTGATTTTGCCCTGACGGAAGAGAAGAACAATGTGACCAAGAATGCCTTCTAGGAGCACTTGGAGCGCATCTATGGGATGTTGCCCCCCATACCCAAATGGGTTGAGGCTGATCGAATTCACCGGGGCCCGCCATATGTATGTATATCTGTAGTAGTAGCTTCCAGCATAAGAAAATTCGTGAAGGTACCTGGCTGTCTCAGTCTCGAATAGCCAACAATCAGATTGATAATGTTGTAGTAGACGGAAGCCAAGTATCCAGTGTTTCAGACGTATAGCTGCAAACGAAACCATTAATTTTCGGAAAATGTAAAAGAACAGCTGTACGATGAGGAGTGCCGTGTCGCAGTAGAGAGAAAACTGCCCACCTCGCAACGATAAGATCGACCACAACAAGTGCGTGATGGGATAGATACCGAGAGCTGCAGGGGGAAGCTAGACGCTTTTGCAAACAGAAAAAGAGACAAGCCGAAATGCATTAGTATGAAGAGCTTGACAATCTGGCCGACAAAGGTTATGCTCGGAAATGCTATGAAAAAATGCTGCGATTAGAAGAAGCTTTCAAGGCCGGAGCAGTCTCTTGTAGAACCCCTAGAGGTGATCAAGTAACCGTTGCTGATATTATACTAAAATTATGGAGGGATCACTTCTCCAGCCTGATGAACGGAAGTGAAAGCATAACACCTGGAGATGTCGAACCCGAGTCCTCAATCGATAACTAATACGGCTCTGCAAACTAACGTTGAGCAACACCAAAAGATCCGACGGAATCGGTCTTTCCAGCGAGGTTTCAGACAAGGCGACTCCCTATTGTGCGGCTACTTTAATCTGTTGCTAGAAAAAAATAATTCGAGCTGCAAAACTTAATCGAGCAGGTACAATCTTCTATAGAGTGTATAGCTGCTGGCGTATGTTGATAATATTGAAATGATTATATCCGTGAATTCTGCTTTCTTCAGAGCAAGACGAAATATCTCCTGTCATCAAATAAACAGAGTTGGCTCCCACGTCACTCTTGACATTCATAACTTCGAAGTCGTAGATAATTTCGTCTATCTATTCTAAGTAGAATAACTCTTGCCAACAGCTGCTACTTCGGACTAAGTGTTCAAATGAGAAGTAAAGTCCTCTCGCGACGAACAAAGACCATACTCTATAAGTCACTTACTATTCCCGTGCAGAGGCATAGACGATGACAACATCTGATCACTCGAAGCCACGAGTTTTCGAGAGAAAGGTTCTGCGGTAGATTTATGGTCCTTTGCGCATTTGCATTGGCGAATATCGCATTCGATGGAACGATGGGCTGTATGAGTTATATGACGACATTGACATAGTGCAGCGAATCAAGAGACAGCGGCTGCACTGGCTAGGTGATGTCGTCCGTATTGATGAAAACACTCCAGCTCTGAAAGTATTCGATCCAGCACCCGCCGGTGAAACCACAGGAAGAGGGAGACAGATCAAGAGGAGAAGGACATGGCAGAGAACTTAAAACATGGAGAAGGTGCAGGTTCGATGTCGAACATTTTATAAGATTGTAGTAGGGAAGTCCCCACACAACCACAGAATTC